CACTATGTTGAAGAAATTCGACAAGAAGGACGAAGAGTCGGGTGGAGGCTCCAACCCATTTGAGCACCTTGAGAAGAGTGCCGTCTTCCAGGAGGCCGGTGTATTTAATGAAACTCCCATCAACCCTTGGAAATGTGCCTACATCCTCACCAAGATTCTTTATCCTATAAACCAGGGGGAGCACCTGGGGACCACGGAAGCAACTGAGGCCTTCTTTGCCGTGACCAAGCTCTTTCAGTCCAATGATCCCACACTCCATCGGATGTGCTACTTGACCATCAAGGAGATGTGCTGCATCACAGAGGATGTCATCATTGTCGCCAGCAGCCTAACAAAATACATGACTGGGAAAGAGGACAATGACCGGGGCCCCGCTGTGCGAGGCCTCTGCCAGATCACTGATGGCACCATGCTGCAGGCTATTGAGTGCTACATGAAACAAGCCATTGTGGACAAGGTGCCCAGTGGCTCCAGCTCTGCTCTCATGTCTTCCCTGCACCTGCTGAAGTGCAGCTTTGATGTGGTCAAGCACTGGGTGAATGAGGCTCAGGAGGCGGCATCCAGTGATAAGATCATGGTCCAGTACCACGCCCTAGGGCTCCTGTACCATGTGCGTAAGAATGACTACCTGGCCATCAATAAGATGATCAGCAAGGTCACCTGGCACGGCCTTAAGTCTCCCTTTGCCTACTGCATGATGATCTGGGTGGCCAGCAAGCAGCTGGAAGAGGAGGATGGCAGCCGTGACAGCCCACTGTTTGACTTCATCGACAGCTGCTTGAGAAACAAGCACAAGATGGTGGTGTACAAAGCCGCCTTGGTCACTGTCAATCTGCCAGGCTGCAGTGCCAAAGAGCTGCCCCTTGCTGTGTCAGTGCTCCAGTTTTTCTGCAGCTCACCCAAGGCTGCTGTCCACTATGCTGCTGTTCCCACCCTCAGTAAGGTTGCCATGAAGCATCTGTCAGCTGTGACAGCTTGTAATCTGGATCTGGAGAACCTGGTCACAGACTGAAACCGCAGCCGTGCCATGCTGGCCATCGCCACCCTCCTTAAGAGGGGCAGTGACAGCAGCATCGACCACCTCATGAAGCAGTTCTCCTCCTTCATGTCAGAGATCTTGGATGAATTCAAGGTGGTGGTTGTCCAGGCTATCAGTGCCCTGTGTCAGAAGTATCCTCACAAACATGCCATCCTCATGAACTTCCTGTTCACCATGCTGTGGGAAGAGGGTGGTTTTGAGTACAAGCACACCACCGTGGACTGCATCATCAGCATCATTGAGGAGAACTCAGAGAGCAAGGAGACAGGGCTGTCACATCTGTGCGAGTTCATCGAGGACTGCGAGTTCACAGTGCTGGCCACCCGTATTCTACATCTCTGGGCCAGGAGGGGTCCAAGACCACTAATCCCTCAAAGTACATCCACTTCATCTATAACCGAGTGGTCTTGGAGCATGAGGAGGTCTGGGCAGGTGCTGTGAGTGCTCTGGCCAAGATTGGAGCCCAGAATGAAGAGATGTTACCCAGTATCTTGGTGTTGCTGAAGAGGTGTGTGATGGATGATGGCAATGAAGTAAGGGACCGAGCCACCTTCTACCTAAATGTCCTGGAGCAGAAGCAGAAAGCCCTCAATGCAGGCTATATGCTAAATGGTCTGACTGTGTCCATCCTGGTCTGGAGAGGGCTCTGCAGCAGTACACTCTAGAACCATCAGAAAAACCTTTTGACCTCAAGTCTGTGCCCCTGGCCATGGCACCCACGGCAGAGCAGAGAACAGAAAGTACTCCCATCACAGCTGTCAAACAGCCTGAGAAAGTGGCAGCTACCAGGCAGGAGATCTTCAGGAGCAGTTGGTGGCAATGCCAGAGTTCCGGGGACTTGGGCCCTTCTTCAAGTCCTCGCCTGAGCCCGTGGCCCTCACAGAGTCAGAGATGGGGGAATGTCATCCGCTGCACCAAACACACCTTCACCAACCACATGGTGTTTCAGTTTGACTGCACAAACACAGTCAATGACCAGACCCTGGAGAATGTCACAGTGCAGATGGAGCCCACTGAGGCCTATGAGGTGCTCTCTTACGTGCCTGCCCAGAGCCTGCCCTATAACCAGCCTGGGACCTGCTACACACTGGTGGCACTGCCCAAAGAAGATGCCACAACCTGCACATTCAGCTGCATGATGAAGCTCACTGTCAAGGACCGTGATCCCACCACTGGGGAGACGGATGATGAAGGCTATGAGGATGAGTATGTGCTGGAAGATCTGGAAGTTACTGTAGCTGATCACATTCAAAAGTCATGAAACTGAACTTTGAAGCAGCCTGGGATGAGGTAGGGGATGAATTTGAGAAGGAGGAAACGTTCAGCTTGTCTACCATCAAGGCACTTGAAGAGGCTGTGGGTAATATTGTGAAGTTCTTGGGAGTGAACCCTTGTGAGAGGTCAAAGTGCCGGGTAACAAGAACACCCACATGTTGGTCCTGGCTGGTGTGTTCCGGGGTGGTCATGACATCCTAGTGCACTCTCCGCTGCTGCTTTTGGACACAGTGACAACGCAGTTGACACCCAGAAGTTTGGAGGAGCTGCCAGTAGACATCATCTTGGCATCTGTGGGCCAAGGAGCCAGCCTGCATAGGACCTTATACCCTTCCCCAACACTGTCTGGAAGTTGTGCCTTCCTCATGAAACCAGCAGAAACCCCTTCCCAAGCTTCTGTATTCAAAAAATTACGTCCTCTGACTCCAGGCACCTCATGAATATCCGACAACACACAAAGCCAGATCACAACAAGAGATAAGACATCACACAACCAAGCACATTCTGATTCTTACATGTAATAAACTAACAATGTGCCGTTTAACACGGCATTCCACCAAACACATCATCCTATATACTCAGAACACCGCTCTCATGTGCTATCAACAGACTAAAAAACGCCGCGAGCCCTGCAAAATGAAAAGGACAGGAGGGCATCAATATCACAAAAACGAGATGAAGACAGATACATCTCTAACATTCGGGTGAACATACAACGTACACATCCCTAGGACAGTGGGAACGACCAGGGAGTCTAAAACCAACACCTAAGAAGAGCACAGACACAACACCGGACTGCCCCGCGCAGACAACGAGACCCAGAAGAGCAGAACCCATCAAAACACCTGCTTATACAGCCCAAGGAGAACGAGCCCACACGAGAGCGAAAAGCCGGCAGAGGTTCCCACAAACCACACACAGAGAACCACATCAGACACAGGGAACAGGGAAGAAACGACGTGGAAGACACCATACACCCAAACGTGCGCGAAGCGGGATCAAACCTGGAGCACACGTCTCCAAAGGACGTGAAACCCAAACCACACATTACAGGACAGCAAATACCACACCAACATACCACACACACAACATCAACAACAGTCAGAAGGTGTGAGGAGGCAAAGACACTAAAACTGCCACTGGCTCATCCTGGAAGATTGGGTTATTAAGAAGAGAAGACTTTGTGGACTGAAGGAATTAATGGGAAAAGTAGAAAGACCACCCCTATACAAACGATACAAACCAGACCCTCCACATCTTAACCAACTTATCAGCTCCAGAAGACTCCTGAACCCTGCCCGGCAACATCTGCCGCCTCATCCAGCCTCTTGTAAATCTATTTTTAGCAAAGAACCCCGTCAACACAGTCAGATCTCCCGCCGATACCGCCCCTCCAATGCAACCTGATCCCCCCGAGAAATGTCCTGATCAGACTCTCCCCACTCCTGCACCCATCCCCACAAAGTAACAACGACTTATCGCCGCCCCATGGCCCGATCTTTACCAAGCACCCCACCATCACAAGTAAGAGTTAGCCAGAATCTACCTCATTACCCTGTACAATCGTCCATCCTTCTCCTATCAGTACAAATTCATTCCACACACTGACGAACTCACCGAACCACAAAACAACCCCCACCCTGCATCTCAGCGCATATAACCCTCTCAGGCTTGCAGGCAACCTTCCACGACGCGAGACACCCATCTCCCTTCATCCCCTCACACAACACACTCCCAGACCCCATCGAGTCGACACCACTCCTAGCCACCATCACCCGCATCGTCCTGAACAAAGTCTTTCCCCCTACTCACACAACGCGCCTCAACACAAGTGTCATTGAATTACATATACTCTCAACACATTCATATGAAACCAACAAGACCACCCACATCACGAAAACAACTAGCCAGCACATATATAAAACACAACACCACACAATACCTACACATATCCAGAGAAGATTAACAGTGAACAACACAAGAGCTCATAGACAACACACTGCCACCAGCCGACCACCACCCCAGCGAGATAACAATCAATGAAACACAACAAGACCACGACAACCTCACAGCAAAGAAAAAGGACAACCTGGACCAACCTCTAAACTGGCTTTCCTAATTTCCCCTCCTTTCCACTTAAACAGGTCGAAACTTTCACATAACATAAATCACTAGTATAAACGTACACACCCGCCAGCTATCAACCAACCTATCAATCACCCACACTATAAAACATCAGGCTATCAAACATACAAAACAACGAGACAATGACATTACCACGAGAGGTCACACACGAACCCTACTCCATACCACACCATGTTTACACCACACAAACCATATGAACCATTTATTACGCGATATCTAAGGACATCACTACCCGAAACTAACACCCAGCCACGACAATATGTGTATCCTACTCGAACCCATCCGTTCACCTTCTATCTGGTCCCAAGCACGCGCTCATGCCTCACACTACCCCCAGCACCAACATCCTAGAGAAGCGAACGCGAAGGCCCAGCCGACCACTTAACGGATTGGGAGAACCCCACCTGGCCAACCGACATCACGACGAACACCCCTGCCCCCACACACACCAATAACACTGCACAACCGCTATATACGCCAGGCAAGCCCCGCATGAGTAGTGCGAGCCTAGGTACAATACCAGCTACATTAGAAAGGCATGAGCCACAAGCCAAACTCCCCCACCCACGAGGAACAGCATGAGGTATCCAAGCTGAGCTCGATACTATCCACTCACCGCACTCGCACTTCACCTGGCACAGAGAGGAGACGCGGTTCAACACAACAAACAAACAAACAAAAGGAACGCGATACGCCCCCACACTGTCTCGACGCATAAAATGCCACTATACTACACCTCCGCATTGCCACCCCAACCAACACTAGAACACCACACTACCAACTATATTAACAGAACATCAAGAACCAAGAAGCACAAGAGTCGCGTGGAGGCTCCAACCCCATCACGAGCACCTATCGAGAGAAGCGCCTCCACCACACAAGACACAGCGCGGAGCTATCTTACGCCACACCACCATCAACCACCTTCAATACTGGCACATACCACACTCCACACAAAGCTCTCACAATCATCACATCCACCTACCAGAGAGGACACCCCCACACCGCGGACCACGCGCACCAATGACCGAGAACCTCCTACATAAGCACAACAGACACCAGCATTCTCTTCCAATGCACCAACACGATCCACACTGCCCCCCCCAATCGGAAAGATCTATGACCAGCTCACATCACGAGGCGGAACACTGGCACACGATCCCAACCCAACCAATACACCGAGCGCCATCACACAGACAGGAATGCTCATTACATATCGATCCACACCCAGCATCTACACAAAAAAACATGACTCGAACAGAGGCCAACAAAACCACCACCACACACAAGAGACGGGAGCCCCCGGCTGGGCGCAGCACTACCCTGCCGACTCATTGCCATGGCACCCCCGCACAGGCTCACGCAGCTAACATACACATGAAACAACCAAGTGCCCCACGGTGCTCCAGCCATGGCCCTCCCGTCTCTGCACCTGCAAGCGTGCAGCTGGATTGGTGGTCAAGCCACTGGTGCAATAGCGCTCAGGGGCGGGGCATCCCGTGAATAAGATATCATGCCAGCACCACACGCCTACAGGAGCTCCTTACCATGGCCGTAGAATGACCTACCTGGCATACAATAAGATGGATCAGCAAGGCCACCCTGGCACGCTTAATCCCCTTTTATGCCACCTGCATGAATGATCTGGCGTGGCCAGCAAGCACTGGAAGAGGATGTGACCTGTACCAGCCCCATGTTTAGACTCATCAGACCGCTGCTTGAAGAAACAAACACAAGAATGGTGGGTACAAAGCCGCCTTTTGTCCTGTCAATCTGCAGGCGCAGTGCCAAAGAGTCCCCTGCTGTGTCCCAGGGCTCCAGTTCTTCCGCGCTACACACCACGGCGCTGCTGTCCACCTATGCTGCGTTCCCACCCTCAGTAAGGATTGCCATAAGCATCTGTCCAGCTGTGACCAGCTTGACTCCGACTGAAGAACAACAATCTTCACGAGACGGCCATCGGAAAAAATCTCACGCCTGGGTCACAGACGAACCGCAGCGATAGCCATGCTGAAACACGCCACCACATCCTTAAAGAGGACAATAGACAGCAGCTCCGACCACATCCGTGAACATTTCCCTCCTTCATCGTCAAATCTTGATTAATTCAAGGTGTGGTTCCAGGCTATCAGTGCCCTGTGTCCAGCTAATCCCATCAGCAACATGCCATACCTACCTTGGAACACTACCATGTAATCACCTGCCGCTGACCAGGGGGTTTAACAACACACCACCAGCTGGCCCTCCTCATCACATCATAGAAGAAACTCACGAGAGCAGAAGGAGACAGGGCCTGTCCTGAGCAGTAATCTCGGAGGGCCTGCATTACAGCTTGGCGCCACTCCTCATCACTCTACTGCCGCGGCGGGCGGGTACCAGCATCACTACTAAAGTACATCCACTTCATTAACATACACAAGTGTCTTCAACAGGAATGAGAGGCGATGGCAGTTGCTGTGAGTGCTCTGGCAAGCGATTGACCCAGAAAATGAAAGAGAGTCCTAACCCCAGTATCTTGGTTTCTGAAGAGGTGTGTGATGGATGAATGGCAATGAAGAAAGGGACCGAGCCACCTTACTACGTAACGTCTGAGCAGAAAGCAGAAGCCCTCTCAATCAGGCTATATCTAAATGGTCTGACTGTGTCCTCCTGGTCTGGAACGGCTTCTGCAGCTACACTCTAGAACCATCAGAAAAACCTTTGACCTAGTCCTGTCCCCTGGCCATGGCACCCACACGGCAGAGCAGCAGAACAGAAAAAGTACCTCCAATCACATGCTGTCAAACCAGCCTGAGAAAGGGCAGCCACCAGGCCAGGAGATCTCAGGAGCAGTTGTGGCACCATGCCAGACGTTCCGGGGACTTCCGGCCTTCTTCAAGTCCCTCGCCTGAGCCCCGTGCCCCCAGATCAGAGATGGGGAATGTCATCCGCTGGCACCAAACACACACCCTTCACCAACCAACCCTGGGTTTCAGTTGACTGCCACAAACACAGTCAATGACCATAACCCTGAGATGCTCACAGTGCAGATAGCCCCCACTGACGCCTATGAGCGTGCTCTCTTACGGGCCTGCCCAGACGCTGCCCTATATACACCTGCCGACCTGCTACACACTGGGTGCACGGGGACCAACAAGGCGAAGAGCCACAACCTGCACACATTCCAGCTTGCCATGATAAGCTCACGTCAACGGACGCCGCGTCGACCCACCACCTGGGACGACGATATGAACGCTAACTGAGGATAGATGGGCTGATAATCTGGAATTACACCTGTAGCGGATCACATCAAAAGCCATGAATGAACTTTGAAGCAGCCTGGGATGAGTAGCTGAATTGAGAAGAGGAACGTCACTTGTCTACCACTCAGGCACTTGAAGAGGCTGCGTGCGGTAATATTGGAAGTTCTTGGGAGTCGAACCCCTTTGAAAAACAGAGAGAACAGAGAACAAGAACCCACATATGTCGGGGCTGTTGTGTCCAGGTGGTCAACACCCGGGGCACACAATCAACGCTGGCTGCTTATACCATAAGACAACCTTATATGACACCAATTTAGAAGCGACGAACATCTATAATACTGCAACGGGAGGAGACACCACACATACACCATTTCAACACACAATTCATCATCACAACATACAAAGACACACCACCACAATTACAGGATTCACATATTTTTAAACAATGCGGGACTATAGTATAAATAATTACCCACTGCCACGACTACTTGGCGGGGAGGGTGAATTTTTTATTTATTTAATATAGGCGGGCACTGATTATTAGCTTGCCTACATCAATGCATCTCCCTCCCTTTCCAGAAGTGAGACATCAATAATAAACAACCACTCCTCTAGAATACCAGGACCATCTATCCACACAGTAATTCGGCAGATATTTAACTTGAACCTAGCGAAGAGACTCACGTCTGTATCCCGCACTTTGGGAGGCCGAAGGTGGGCGATCACCAACGGTCACGGACGATCGAGACATCCTGCAACACCGGTGAAACCCGTCTGTAGCAAAATACAAAAAACACGGGCAGAATTGAGAGGCGCCTGTGGGTCCCAGCTACTCGGCAGAGCCTGACGAGGAGGGACACAGGGAGCGGCGACACATTACAAGTACCATATTCGACATGAAAACCTGCAAATATCACAGAAGCGAGATGTACACTGCACTCCAGCCGGCCCCCGACAGAGCGAGACTCCCGTCCCAGAAAAAAGAAAAAAAAAAAAAATTCCTTCTTACAGCATAAACGAAAGCCAGGCTGAAAAGGCATCCGCCCAGCCCCGCCAGGAAATCCAAAATACTCGCAAATCCATTTGCTTGGTGCGTTCTAGATCAGTCCAAAGGTCATCACATTGTAGCTTCACCACCCCACCCCCTGCCATATAAATTAAATTAACAAAAAACGT